TACAAAGGGTTCGTACGAACATGTCACGTCAGATTCAACAAACTCTTCTATCTTCAGGAAACGTGCGTAAATGAGCTGCGTAAATTACACCTGTTCTATCCAGCTGCTCGTGCACGCGAGAGGAGATTAGCATAATTACCACCCCAAATACACCATATAAGGCTATGATTCCTGCCTCAGATATCAGGAAGTGTCCATTCATGAAAATGGCAGCGAAAACTTAAAAGAAAAATTTTACGAGTTCAGAGATTGAAGTCCGTCTGTCAGAGATCCAGAAAAGAAAATCTGTCATTTTTAGCAGGTCAGCTGTGGGATAAAAAAGAACTGCTAAAAGTATAAACAACTGTGTTAAATCATTTTCATTTATTCAGAAGACACAGCGCAGCGCTGCGCACCGTAACCCCCCCCACCAGCGCGCTGCGCGGCGCAGGTGGTCTCAGATGCGGGTCTGAAATAAGCATTTTAAAATGTTTTTAAAATAAGTCTGGCACTTTGGAGAAAATCCTGGACTTGATCATGTATCCCCTCTGGTCTGGGAACGTCTTGAGTCCCCCAGGACGAGCTGGAAGGTGTAGCAGGGGAGAGGGGGGTCTCTCTGCTGCTGCCCCCGCACCCGATCCCGGATAGGCGGCGGAAAACGGACGAACGGACAATTTATATTGTTGGTCTAAATTATTACATTTAAAATTATAACTCTAATTCAAGCAGAATAGCCTATTGTCAACATAATTATGGAGTGTAATTTATTTTCAACTCAAAATATCTTCAAACTAACTAAATATAAAGTTATTAATGAAGAAAACCCGTCTGGATAACAGCAGACTGACTTCACGTAAAATATACGACAGGTCTGGACCACTCATAAATTTTGTTCGTATCTGAAAAAAATCTTAGAATACGAAAACATTGGTGAATGCCACAAATTCTCCTAAATCACTCGTACACACAACTTAAGAACAAATCTGTGCGTACGAACGGTTTTTGCATGAGGCCCATTGTTCTTCAGTGGCAGCTCCCCTAAATTACGGAGTTCCTCAGGGTTCAATCTTATGTCCTATTTTGTTCATATTGTACTTGCTGCCTCTTGGACACATTTTCAAGAAATATATTTCCTTTCACTGTTTTGCAGACAATGTCCAAGTATACATGCCCATAAAGAAAATAAATGATAAATATAATTCCCTACAGTCTCTAACAAATTGTTTAACTGAAGTTAGTTCATGGATGAACCAAAATTTTCTTCATTTGAATCTAAATAAAACCCAAGTCATACTTTCTGGACAAAAGAACCTTATTACTAAACCTGACCAAATTCTTGGTTCTCTAGCACCTTTTTTATCAGTCTTCTGTTAAGAATCTTGGTGTCATTTTTGACAGTTGTTTGAAATTGGATAAGCAGGTGAGCGCTGTTGTGAAATCAAGCTTTTTTCATCTGCGCCTTCTAGCAAAGGTAAAATCAAGTTTTTGTTTCAAAGATTTTGAGAAACTTATTCATGCATTCATTACTACACGATTAGATTACTGTAATTCTTTATATAAAATCTTGGACCAATCTTCTTTACGTCATCTCCAAATAGTTCAGAATGCTGCAGCTCAACTCCTAACTGGAACCAAAAAACCATGACCGTATAACTCCAGTACTGGCTTCTCTGCATTGGCTGCCAGTTTCTTATTGCATTGATTTCAAAATTCTTTTATTGGTTTTTAAAGCTATAAATGGCTTGGCCCCAGCCTATCTTAAGGATCTTCTACATGACTATTCCTCTTCTAGATCACTTCGGTCTAATAATAAACTGCTTCTACACATTCCCAGAACCAGACTGAAAAGCAGAGGAGACCGGGCATTTATTGTCACTGCTCCTAATTTGTGGAACAATTTACCATTCAATATTAGATCTGCCCATAATCTGGAACACTTCAAATCTCTTCTGAAAACTCATTTTTACTCTCTGGTATTTCAATAAGGATTTAAATTGTATTTTATGAGTCTTGTCTATTTAATTTATTGTTTTTACTTTAGTATGTTTTTTATTAGTTGTTTTATGATTACTGTACAGCACTTTGGTGCAGTTGGTTGCTGTTTTTGAAAGTGCTCTATAAACTTGACATTGACATTGACATAACAAATCAATATTTTTTGTGAAAGGAAAAAAAATTGTATAGGTCCTCTGGACGGGTTCTTCTTTAATGAAACGTTTCGACTTATATTTTTTGTTTGTTAGGATTTTGTCTCTGACATTAACTGCATTTGTGTCCTTCCATCACACATTGAGAAAATGGGCTTGGCCTAACTTTTTCCTCATGGTATTAGTAGAACACCATAATCAAGAGCAGCTGGTTTAAGTAGGCTAGTCAGGCTAGGCCCTCCCTGGTGTTTACAATATGAATCTTGAAATACCTAATAAATACAAATTTAAAATACTGTATCACATTCATACATGTCAACCTCTTTGGACATTTACCTGTATAAAGAGCTTAAATTTTGCAAAAAAATCCGTACAACTAGCACCCGTGGGGGGTGGGGTGGGGTGGGGGTGGGGTCGGCTGCGGACATGAAAGCGAGTGGAAAAAGTTCAAAACTTTTTTCTAGCGGCAGAACAGGTTGGAAGATGGCATTTTCATGTTATTTACTGTTTTTAATCATCCTGCAGGCTATGACATGTTAGATAAATTTGAAAATGAGGTTTTGAAAAAGTCCGTTAAGACTTGAAAAAAATCCGTGAGATTGTTCTATACGTCAGTACACCTGCAAAATGACGTGAAATCCTTGTAATTTTTTCAAATTGATCTATTTAACCGGACAGTGCATATTAATAACAGTACATATGTAACATGCCAGAATTAGCCAAAGGCTAGTTTTCATCTGTCGTCCTGGTGGCCAGTTGTGCAGTGGCACCCTAGGAAAACATAAAATATTAATATAACTTATGGACAATCCGCACAAGTCGACATGAATGCACATTTTGTGAAAATTACAGCAAAACTTGTACAATTGGTCTTGAAGCAATCCCTTTCAAAGGACTAACTTTTCACAGCTCTGTTCATTTAATGTCTTTCATGGTGCATAATGATTGAAAGAAGTTTTGTCCCAACCCCCTTGGTTTGCTGTTCATTGAGGCTAATTTTATTCAGCCCAGGGTCACCTTAAGGTCATAGGCTTTAGCCAATAATGTGCCTCCAGTGCACGTGGATGTGGGTGTGGTTTGGCATAGACTAAGTACGATGGTGTGCAAAATTAACATAAACAAGGTGGATTATTAAATTTCTTACCCCTTCTTCCTTCTTTCTTTAGAGTAAAAACTGGAAGTGAAGAAGTTGGGGGTGGATAGACCAAAGGATTTTCAAATCTAGCAAAAGGAAAAACAACAAAACCAAACATTTTTCAAGTGCGGAAAGGACTGGCTAATGTCAAGTGTAGCTAACAAATCACTTTTCTGCTTTCTGTGTTTGCTGATTGGGGGAGACACAGCTTGAATCTGTTTCATTATACAGTATACAGCGGGTAAAATAAGTATTGAACACATCAACATTTTTCTCAGTAAATATATTACTAGAGGTGCTAATGACATGAAATTTTCACCAGATGTTGGTAACAACCCAAGTGATCCATACATACAAAGAAATCAAAAATAATGTGGAATGGCACAGGGAAAAAGTATTGAACACATCAACATTTTTCTCAGTAAATATATTACTAGAGGTGCTAATGACATGAAATTTTCACCAGATGTTGGTAACAACCCAAGTGATCCATACATACAAAGAAATC